AATATTTTTAATATCTACCATTTATCCCGCATGATTAGGAGAATGCAGCTTTAGCCCCTTAGATTTGTGCCTTGTTAGCTAAGTTATATTGCTATTAGCTTAGCTACCTTTACATTTTGTGTACTAATGTTAGCTGTCGTTCACAAACTACTGAGTACATCACTTTTTTAGATAATGTGAAGCCAATGTAAGAACAAGGATTGATCAAAAAGCTGAATAAAAGACAGTTTTTTATATTCTTGTATTTCATTATGATGGAAAAATCTAAATAAATAAGTGTCTTCCAAAAGTAGTGAGATGGTAAAAAGGAACCACAAGAAGGCTTTTAATGTGAAACAAAAGGAAGTTATCAATGATCAGTAAAGCATATTTAAAAAGTCAGTGTTCACTGCTATTGAAGTTGGGAATATCAAATTCCTGTAAATGTTTCACAATAAAAGTCTTCCAAGGGGAGTGAAGGTGTTATAGGCAAAAAAACAATTGTAAAGCTTTTAAAATAGATCAGTAAAAATGGATCTGATCAAATGCACACAAGTCATTTTTCCAAACTAGTTTTCTACTTAAGCCTGGTGCCACTGTTTGAGAATTTACAGTACTTCCTGTTTTATTTTTTCAATCCTATTTTTCCAGTTGTGAAAAGTGTTCTGTGTTTCCTCGAAGCTGCTATCCCTGTGCTGTGTAGATCGGAGAAGTCCAGCCTTATCCCTGAAGTCCTACAAACACCCTCCGTTAGCTCTCCATACCTCACACCAACACACTTTATTATCATCAACTGAATAATAATAATTCAAATGCATCGGTGGTTCAGTTTGTGCCTTTCAGGGAATCATCGTTTTGCTTTTGAGGAGTTGTGTTTTCATTCAAAAAGATTCAGTTTTACGTTGTGTTCAGGAAAAGTAGATTTATTTAAGATGCATGTCTGTTTCTTTATCCAATATATTACTGTTAAGGTGAAACAGTATTTGTTTAACAAGTATGTATACACCCATAAGTGATGATTGAACATATCAATTTAAAACTTTATTATGTGGCACAAGATGTTTAGGACGCAATAGGAATGTCATTCATAAGAATGATCGAACTGCACACATTGACACCTGTGAAGAAAAGAAACTGTGTGTCTTGTTCCATATCAAGATTTATTCCACAGATAATCAAAATAAGACAAATGTCTCTTACCTTCACCTGAGGTATCGTTTGTAATTGTATTGTTGGATCATAGGATACAAGAAGAATTAGGTTGGAGATAACATTGATAATCATACCAATGGTTTTGTAACTTGTTTCCTCCCAAATGCATCATATTCGTATGATAACGAGAGTAATAGGTACAGCATAGTACACTTTTGAAGTACTTTACTTGGCTATATAATCAACACATTCAATATAATGTACTATGATAAGTTAAGCTACCCAGCAGTATTTAAAGTCATCAACATGAGCTCTGTTTTCACAAGCTCAAAAATATGTGGTTGAATCTGCAGGAGAGCTAGTTCACGTTAGCTGTTAGCTGCTAGCTTTTAGCTGTTAGCTGTAAGTTATTAGCAGTGGGTAAACGAGGTTCCATATTGTTGGTCTGAGTTCAAGCTCTATTCAGTTAAAATGAATATTTAGCTAAGGTAGACTATAACGTTAGTATTATTACGTGTAATAAACTTGAATAAATTGAGTTTTTATAAAAATGACAACCTGTTAAAGTTGCTTACAAAACCAGTATGCTAACGGTAACAGAAGAGTGTATGTTGAAGATTTTTTTTTAATGATAAATTCTTGGTCAATTTGGTATCAAGAATCCTACTATTTCACTGAGTATTGATGATAACACAGTCATTCACATTTATAAATGGACAAAATGTAAAACCTGACTTCCCGTCAGAGGCACAAACTGGATTTTACGGTCCACAAATCGTTTTTGTTTCAATCAAATCAAACATTTTGCAGCATGTCATGACATTTCTTGAAAAGCGACTGTTTGTAGGCATACCTGCAAAGTGTATTTATTATTTATTTTATTTTTTGTAATGCATGGTTTTGATTGCACACCGCCGTTCGTTCATATCCACCCAGGGGTGTTGTGTCCTGCCAACATGTAGTGGAGGTAGTTTCCTTTCTGTGTGGAGTCCGTATAGACTTTGCTGCCTGTTGCGTGTGAAATACCCGTGAAGCTGCCTCCGTCCACATCAAGTACCTTTATACCAACACCGATCCCCAAAACAAAACGCTGCCAAATTGGTCTGAATAAGCCAAAAGTTTGTTCTGACGTTCTCTGGTTATAAGTGGTATAAGTGTATCACATGTTAAACCTCATCCCGTTTAATGTTACATTGTGTTTTTAACAAAAAAGAATCCTGTTTGTTAAATTGTTGATAGTATATGCAGAAGAGTTATGAAATAAACTGAAACAAACTCATATGTGTGTCAGCTGCTTGTGTTGAATTGTTTTTCCACCGGATGAAGACATTTTCTCTCTCAGTGTCAAAGGATTTATTTTATGAGGTTATTTGATTCCGTAAACACACGTTGACACTACAGATGGATAGGGTATACAATATAACCAACACAAATAATGGTTTATGGTTTAAAGTCAGTAAAGTAGATTACAAAAATGTAATTATCAAACTACTTTTAAAAGTGAACTTTTATTTTGAAGGCATCTCTAAAAATAAATACATAGAACAATAAATACATGCACACATTATGAACACGGCACTTCAAAATAAAAGTTTAGTATAACTTGACTAAACTTGAACACACATTTCTTTCGGTCTGGTAGTGGCTCAGTCAGAGCCGTAGGGTCGCCGGTTCAAGTCCCCAACCAGACCTAAATATGGAGTGTGGACTGCTACTTGGAGAGGTCCCAGTTCACTTCCTGCCCTGCCGTGGTGCCCTTGAGCAAGGCACCAGACAACCCCCTTCCCCCCTTACTCCCATTGCTCCCCAGGCGCTGTACAATAGCTGCCCACTGCTCCTGGTACTAGACTCCTGGTACTAGGATGGGTTAAAAGCAGACAACACACTGTGTGTGCATGTGTGACCATTACAGAGGGTTTCATCCATCCCATTCTATTCTATTCCGGATTGCATCCACTAGATGGTGACATTAGAGCCTCAAACAAAAGCACATAACCCAATGGAAAACATCAATATAAATGTACTGTTAAAACACAGAACCTAATAAGAATAATGTTGAAAATACTACTACCAAAGATTAATGATGCCAGTTAAAAAAAGATATGACAAGGATTAAGTTAAATATGAAAAGTAATTAAACATAAAAACGTAAAGAATATAAACAAAAAAACTATTATATTCCAATGAATCAATAAAACTTAATTGGGAGCAATATACAATTATTCTCAAAAATATAAAATATACTTTCACCATGTGTCTGTTATCAAAATGGTTATAGCATATTAAAGGTAAATATTGAAAACCTTTCACTTTCACCAACGGCTAAGCACTGACGTTATTTTCCAGCCAGCCAATAGCAGAGGGGCAACCGCACAGTGCTATTTGCATACAAGGGTATAAGTAGGAGTAGCGTGCATTCGCCTTCCTCACTGTTCGAAGAAGGCCAGAATCGTAACCATGCCTGAGCCACCAAAAGTTCCAGTACCCAAGAAGGGCTCCAAGAAGGCGGTCACCAAGACCGCCAGCAAGACCGGCAAGAAGAGGAGAAAGTCCAGGAAGGAGAGCTACGCCATCTACGTGTACAAAGTGATGAAGCAGGTGCACCCCGACACCGGCATCTCCTCCAAGGCCATGGGCATCATGAACTGCTTCGTGAGTGACATCTTTGAGCGCATCGCCGGGGAGGCATCCCGTCTGGCTCACTACAACAAGCGCTCCACCATCAACCTCAGGGAGATCGCAGACGCCCGTGCCGCCTTTGCTGCTCCGCCGGAGAGCTTGCCAAGGCACGCCCGTGTCCTGAGGGCACCAAGGCCGTGACCAAGTACACCCAGCTCCAAGTAACCTGCTACCGCTACTGCTACAAATCAACGGCTCTTTTAAGAGCCACCCACTTCATCTACTGCTGCCATCCTTAGATGTATCCATGATGTGTAATTCAACAATGTAAACTCAGCCGTCATGTTTAAATGAATATGTGAATATGAAAATAATGAATACGGATAATAAACGCCCAGTGACAAAAACAACCCTTGTTTTGTATTTATGGATATTTTCGAGTAATCCAGAACATGGAATAGTCCGGTCTCAATAATAGTCAAATAAACACTACTCTTTTAATTTGTATGTAATTTGGATTTAACCCTTTTCAATTTAGCTGTAAGAGCTAACAAGCAATCTATGTACATTATATTTACTTTTGAGTACTCTGACTAGTTCAGGAGGGTCTCTGTGTTATCATGAATGTTAAAGTGCAAATAAACTTTGTGGTAAGCCCAAAGAATACAAAATATGACAGTAACGGTTGCATATTAGTGTCTGAATGTTGTAAATAAAATAAGATATCCAAATGTAAAGTAATATATAAAACAATACAACTAAAGAAAACCTTATGAGGGAAAGTGACAGTATATGTAAACTGTGTACATCATAGTTTTATGTATTTAAATTAAGATTTTCATTGGTGTTTAAATATTCCAAAAATGAAAATATGATAAACTATAACACAATAGTAAAGTGAAGTATAAGATATAGAGTAGTATAAGGTGCAATATATTGGTGGTAATACCAATCGTATACAATAGTATAGTATGATACAAGTAGAGAGTATTTTATTTTTGGTAATACTAAATGCAATAAATTATATCGATGATAAACAGCTGAATATGGTGCCTATTAAACACAGGGGAAATCAAAGATCGACCCACAACCCAGATCGGCAATTGTGCGACTTTATTGTGAAATAACCATTGAAGCGTTTTCTGTTGTTAGCTTGTTTTTTCCCGCCGAACAGATCTCAACCACGTCCGCAGACTGGCAATAAATACCAACGGTCTCCACAGCAGATTCATTCACAGTTTTGACACAACTCTGAAATTATGTCTGGAAGAGGTAAGGGCGGAAAGGGACTCGGCAAAGGAGGCGCTAAGCGTCACCGCAAAGTGCTCCGTGATAACATCCAGGGCATCACCAAGCCCGCCATCCGCCGTCTGGCTCGCCGCGGCGGAGTGAAGCGTATCTCCGGTCTGATCTACGAGGAGACCCGTGGTGTGCTGAAGGTGTTCCTGGAGAACGTGATCCGTGATGCCGTCACCTACACCGAGCACGCCAAGAGGAAGACGGTGACCGCCATGGATGTGGTGTACGCTCTGAAGAGGCAGGGCCGCACCCTGTACGGCTTCGGGGGATAAACTCATCTGACTGAAACACACAAAGGCTCTTTTAAGAGCCACCCACTTCACTTTAAGAGCCTCTGTCCTTGAGATTTACTGATTTATTACCGTCTTTTTGATCCTTTAAATAGATAATTTATAGAATCCATGTTATTAGAGCAATGCCAAATATGATGTGTTATAACAAATAGTATACTATACTAGAATGTAAGCAAAGTGGTTTGTACTGCATTAATCGAGAGGATAAACCAACTTTCAGTCTTTCCTTTATTTAACATTATAACGAGGGGACTATTGGGTAAACACTGGCTGCGAGAGGCTGTGTCGAAGGCGTATGTCTCCTGGGATCAGTGGGCTCTCCACCAGAGGAATTTGTGCTGCATCTTGTCTTCCCCCTGTTAGTTTATTCAATTGTATTAGAGGGATGTCTCCCATTCCTCTCTGACACACTCTGTACTGAGTGTCTTGTCAGAGTGAGTGATGTCAGGGATCCAGCTGTGCGCGCCTCTCTCTCCTGCCTCTCGGCACGCAGAGAATGGACCTCCCCCCCTCTTTTATCGCGGGACAACGTGTGACCTTCGTCAATACTTTTCACAGCGGCAGGTTTTTTATGGTTCCCAGCCTTCGTCCACTCATGGAGAATATTCATGTTTTATGCTATATTTCCAGGGACTGTGATGCACCGTCACACATGACGCAATAGGCATTAGTGAGCCGGATCATCAGAACTAGTATCAGTTCAAGTTATGATGAAACATGTGCAAATGTAAATACATTGCCTTAATAAACTCTTCAATCCACTATGAGTTTACCACCTGGAATGCTCTTGGTATTCAGTCTAAAGACATCAACAACAACACATTTATTATTTGTTGGAAAGTAACTTTGACATCCTGCCACTCTAAACTACCTAAGTGGTTTTGAAGCCATTTAATGATTCCCGAGATTTTAAGAAAGGTCGTCTGGATGATTTGTAACTACACATTTTAAATGTTTAAAAAATATATATATATGTATACCTCTTTGTGACTATCCAGTATATCACACAATACCTGTGTTAGAAAACAATTTTCAACACTTTTCAGGTATTTGTTCTTCATTTGAATTCTATAATCTTGTAAGTATAACGGAAATCTAAATATCAACAGGTCATGAACAGATAACTTGTCAGATATCACACTTTATCAGTTTAGATAACAGGACTGATTTACATGAAATGACTAACGGCGTTTTAGGCACCAAAATGTATGCGTTTAAGGCTAAACATTTCATCATGGAAATAAGTAGGTCTGTATTATCTTCACTGAATTTGAGGATGAACACCTAACTCAATAATGGGCCTGTGAACTTCCAGTCATACCTGTGGAGGAAATTAATTACAAGCATTTCATCAAGAAACTCTACACCAACCAGCTACAACAAGCTGATCTCCAGCAATAATAGTAAAAGACATCTCTTCTCATATAATTATTACAACCAAACACATGTATGCCTTATATTAAACCAATTTCATTCAAATTAAAAAGCCCTTTTAACCTGAACTAATTCATCACCAAACAAGTCTTACACCTTTTTCCCTTTCCACGTTCATTATTTCTATTTTTACACTAAA